TTGTGAGGTGAAGGACTTTGTGGACTGGTGTTGGGTATGGGTTAATGTTGGACTTGTGGGCTTGGGCAGCATTGGGTTGGGATGTTTTCGTGATGCAATTTTCTTTACATAAAACTCTCTCTTATACATGAGTTGCTGTGGATTTGTTTCTCCAAAGTACCTAGACTAATACACTATCTATCCTTAAAAAGTTAATGATATCTACTTTCTGCAGTATTTTCCAGAATGAAGATGGGGACATGATATCAACAACGGGAGTAGCTAATCTGTATTCATTACATCATCAAAGCCATCGGCCATGTATCCAGCACCCTTTGTAGGGGCTGGGCTGCCAGTGCCTGTATGCTTGTTCACTGTGCTGAATGGCTTTAATGGGCTGGTAGACGAAGCAAGTAAAACATTCCATTCTAGTGAATGGCATATCATGCTACATTTCTAATTCTAGAAGGTGACATGTTTCTCTCAACAACAAAAAAATTATATATTTTCTATGTGTATAACCATATAACACAAGACATATACGTACCTACTATAGCAATTTTCCCCTTTGAACAAATATACTTTCCTTTCAAAAAGTGGATCTATCAATCAAAAAACATCAAATAGTTCCATTATGAAGGAGTCACATTTATCTCCTTTGTATTATAAGTCCGCCTTCAGTGCACATTGCTTCAAAGGTTACCAACAATAGATGTTTCCTTCCTGTTGTAATGATGCCCAGGCAGTTTCCCCACTTGATGCAATCCTCCTCCAAGTCTAAACAGGGTCAGGCTAGAGTTCACTGAACAGCAGGTTACTGACCTCAGAACAGCATAGCCACAAGTTCTCTTCGCACTAAGTGCATGGATGCACATGCACATATACACAGCTCTCTGTAAGTAAATGATCACAACTGTATAGTGCCCAGAGAGAAATGATACTTGGCAGCAATGGCAAGTCTATCAATCCTTTTTTAAAAAGCATTGACAGTAATTAAGTCCCTAAGAAAAAACTGTGTGTGTATATTTACTCTAACATAGTGAGCCCTGGTAGTACACTGATTAAGGCACTCAACTGCTAGCCAAAATGTCAGGGTGGCTTTAGTAAAGAAAACTGCCTTTGATATCTCATGGAGTTCTATAGGAATTGAACCCTCTACAGAGGGTTGGGTTTGGGCTCCTAAAATATATCAAGTGGTGACTTTGTAAGGGATAATTCAGAAAGCATTTACAGAAAAATTTTCATAAGAAAAATAAATATATATCCCACAAAGCTATCCCCTATCAACAGCCATCTGGGAAATAAATTGCCAACAGAATAAAGAGATGAGCCAGTGGTTATAAACCATTTAGCATGTTATTTCCAAGCACAAAGAGAATTATGAGAACCCAACACAGGAACAGGTGCATGGGTATAAATTCCTTCAATATTGTGTAAAGATTAACCAATCAATTTCTGCAATCTCCACAAAACTAATGCGATATTAAATATTTTTATAAAACAAAATTAAAACCCTCATTCAAAGAAAACACGCCAAGCAGATAAAGCGTATATCAATTCTTTGCATCGGAAATACTTCAGCATTTTTGTCACTTCTGACATTGGTTAATACTCAATCTCTTTGCTCAGAATCAGAGTTAGTATCCCCAAAATCTTACTCTTGGAATCCAAGTTGTTGATTTTTTTCACCTTCTAAACGAGAAATTATGATTATCTACAGCAGAATTGTCATTTCTAACTTCTAGGAGTTAGATATGCCTATAGATAGGCATTATGTAGTGTTCCTAGAAAATCTACACAGAAGAATGAACGAAGGGGAAAAAGAGAGAGTGGTTCACTGATTTTAATGCTCATCTGTCATTATCGTTCTATTTATAAGGTGGACTGATGGACAATAATTCCAATGAGAACTTAACCTCAAAGGACACTTCTCTCCCATAACTCTACAAACTACAGTCCGTTGGCAGTATGGAAGCACACCACCACCAGTTGCCAACGGATTGTTTTACTAATGGTGACCTCAACTGTGCATCTCAGAATAGAAACGTGCTCCATAATTTTCAATGGCTGATTTTTTTACAAGTAAAAAACTAGGCCTTTCTTTTGAAGGGTGTCTGTGTGTACTTCCACCTCTCCAAACTTTTGGGTTTGGGTAACGCACTGTGTTACTGCATGTGCTATGTTACTACATGTGCAACGTTACCGCATATGTATGGGAAGTGCTAACGCAACACATGCAGTATATTATGAACCCTAACACAGGCTGCTCTAAGCAAGCATAGGCAACACTGGGTTCAGATAGGGGTTAACAAGAAAATGAAAAATAAAATATAGCCGACTAAGTACTGTAAATAAACAGTGTATATCCAAGACCAGATATACAGTATACCGGTACTTGTACTCAGCAATGCTTGGGTGGAGCAAGGGGGCGTGACCAAGCGCAAGCAAGACTGTAAAGGCTACGTCATTGGTCAGAGCCCTGGAGAAGTGTGGGAGAAGAAGAGCTGCCGCATCCGGCAATCATCAGACAAGATGCGGTGCGCCCCAGGTATCAGCGCACAGGCGCAGGCAGGTTCTTGCCCAGTACCGCACGGACAACGCAGCAGTCATGGGACCACCCACAGAGGCTGCAGGCGCCCGCAGATGACTGAGAGACCGAAGAACACCCAAACGCACCTGAGGGCATTAAGTTGGACCCTTACTGGAGTATTAGCTGAGGGGGGCTTTTTCAGCATAATAAAGAGCTAAAAACTCAGCTTATACACGAGTATATACGGCAATAATTTTCAGTGTAATAAGGCATGGGCTATTTACACTGAATTGTTACAGTACATGCATTTAATAATTCTAGATTGAAGATCAATAACTAGGTAGACTGTAAATGCTTTTTAAAACTGCTTGAAATCTGTAACATTAACCTAGATGTTTTTGTAAACTATTTTCCTACTCGTTAAAAAAGGGTAGGGACCAGATCAAATGCA